GACGAATTTTAGGATCAATGATTGTCCCCACAAACTAATATAAGAATTTTCAGCGTGCTTTGTGAGGGCCTCACTCACACACTTCTTAAGAAACTTCCTATGAGGTCACTTATCCCATAATTGCTTCAAGTCAAGCACGCTTAATTATGGAGTTTTTCCATTATGAGCTACAGGAAAGTAGATATATCTTATTAGTATAGGTAGTATATATTAATTCTTACAAGGCATCCTCAATTGTACAGTCCAATACCTGTATAGCTTCTGGATTCCTCTCGTCAGGTGTTGATTCGATTCATTCATGTACCCCTCCAGTTGGAACATGGTACATTAGCTCTTCCACTAACTATACAATCGTCAGCGCCCGGGATGTTACATGCACCACTAAAAAAAGAAATAAGTAAATTTAATAATGGCGGAATATGAATTTAGGAAAAATATCCCATAATTAACTTAGAATAATTATAGAATAATATTTTTTGGAAATAAAATCATTTTTTGAAAGAAAAGTGCAAATACTGGGAATTTCGCAGTATAAATGTGCATCGGCGAAATGACTCAAAAAATAGAAATAAAAAATGATAATTGTTAGAAAATGTATTAAGTCCATAGTATTAAGTTTGAAAGAAAAATAATTAAGGGAAGTGTTAGAACTAATACCGGGTGTCTTAAGTGAGTAGTGTCTTAAATAACTAAGTCACACTTAAAGCTCTCATTTTATAAAACCTACGTAGACATCACTCTTCATTTCCTCTCATGGATGCCAAACACTCCTCACCCTAGCCTCCATGGTTTCTTCGTCAAGACAACACCAAGACATCATCTTTTTCCCTTTTCCTTCCACCCAAACCTCTTGAACACTTGAAAGTCACCTCCTTGAAGTAAAAAAACTCATTCTTAGGTGTTTTGGTTTATGCCTTGTGTGGGTTTAGGGGCTTCCATCCATACTTGGTTGGTTTATGTTGCTTGTACACCATTCTTCATCATCAAGAAGCCACCTTTGAGAAGAAAACATCCACCTTGCATGCTCAAATTCGTCCACCTCTTTTGGCAGTGCTTGGGAGTGGGTTCTTAGCCTTAAAGAACCTTCCTTCATCTGTTTTTGAAAGCTCTAAGGTAAACCTCAACTATTTCCCTTGCATTTCCATCAAAATAGTTTGTTTTGAGTAATGAAAAAGAGAAACTTTAATGGTTTAAGTTGGGGATTTTTAATCTAAGCGCACTCGAGTGTATTGAACTTCTGTATGTTAGAAAAATGGAAGCTAGGACCTTTGGTAGCCATTAAAATGGAGATTTTGCAGAAAAAAACTCGTGTTTTTTCTGCATTCTGCAGTGTGGTAATCGATTACCACTTGGTGCGTAATCGATTACCTAGTGTGAATGTGACAACAACGCACTAGTTTGATAAAATCGCGATATCTTGAGCTACAGAGCTCCAAATCGAGTGAGATTTGGACCTATATGAAGATAACATATAGGAATACAACCTTGTAAAATTTAAAATCCATTGGACAAGTGCATTGATCGCGGTTACGGTTTGAAACTGTTGCCTTGCTGTTAGAAATTCAGTTTGCAGCAGTCACTTTGCGAAAAATATAACTGGAGTTATACAACTTCAAATGAGACATATAATATGTCGTTGGAAAGCTTGTAATATATAGTTTAACATACTAAAATTTTAGGACTTTTGGTAAAGAGTTACAATACTAATTTTAAAAATGATAAATACGGTTTGCAAAACAAAAAACAAATAGTGTTCTCAATGACATGAAATTGTAGAATCTGATCATTGATGGTATGATTGACATAAAACAGATTGTACTTGCTAGATTATGTGACCGTGAGTGTCTCCGTGGGTATCGAGTTTGTTGTAGAAGGCTTAACCACTACAGGTAAGCTTTTGGTCCTCAATTTTATCCATTGTTTGTTCTACCAAATTTCATGGGAGGTTGGTTTATATGCATGATATGTTTTCAAAAATGATAACGGTTGATACTATGATTATTGAATATATTGCTGAGCTGAGGTCTGTTTATATTATGATTATTTGACATATTGTTGGATGGACATTTGTCATAGTGCATTGTCATATGTATATTTATGTGAGGTATTACACACAATATGGTAATCCCTGAGTGTAGTGTGGAACTGCACAAGATGGTAATCCCTGAGTGTGGGTATAAGGTAGAATCCTTATGCTTTTTGTTGTATGTAGCAGACGTGCGTAAATCATACTTATTCTCTGGCCAGTATGATGCATACACACATGACATGGACATATGCGGCATTGCACCCCATTTGATATACTGCATTGTCACCCATTTTCATTTACTGCATTGTACAATGTTACAAATGGCCTGGTATAGCCATTTTACTTACCTATTTACAGTTTTGTTTCTTTATATACTGCCTGCACTATTTTTTGAACTTATATTATACCTGTAAGTGAGTTTGGGGTGGAGGATTCCTTGAGGACCCCTTGTCTTACTGAGATTTTTGTTAGAAATCTCACTCTTTTTGGGTCACATTTTTCAAGAGATGATGTTCGTGAGACGGACAATAATAGAGACAAAAGGTCGGCATAAGGATTTCATTATTGTTATGAGCCATGTATATTAGGATTATTTATTTTGCCAATATGAGACTTTATTGTGACTAGACTTGATGGATTATGTTGTTATTTGTGGTGAGCATAGGGGTTGTCTATGCCACTATTAAATAATTTGTTTATTTATTCCAAGTTAATCCACCATGAGGATTAGCCTGGTTTATTTAAATAAAACATTATGTTGTTTCCGCGATTAATTATTGCAAGTTGCGCTTTAAATATCATTTGTATATTAATACACCGGCGGCCGACGGGGTGTTTCACTCGACGACTTTTAGGATCAATGATTGTCCCCCACAAACTAACATAAGACTTTTCAGGGAACTTTGTCCTCACTCACACACTTCCTAAGAAACTTTTCATGAGATCACTCATCCCAAAATTGCTCTAAGTCAAGCACACTTAATTATGAAGTTCTTCAGTTATGGGCTACCGAAAAGTAGACGCATCTTGTTAGTATAGGTAGTACCTATTAATTCTTATAAGCTATCCTCAACTGTACAACCCCATACATGTACAACTGATGGATCCCTCTTGTTCGAGTGTTGATTCAACTCATTTATGTATCCCTCATGCTGGAACATTGTACGTTACCTCTTTCACTAACTATACATTCGATTGTACTTTAGCTCTTCCACTAACTATACAATCATCAGCATTTAAGATGTTACATTTAACCTCTGTATAACATATTCTCATATATGTGTGATCATATATGCATAATTGGACTAATTAGGTTCCTTAAATGCATGATTGTGGAGCATGAATACATTCCTTGGTAAGAGAGCTCAATAAACTTCATTCTCATGGTTTTCATACCTTATATAATATTTCTAAATAGTTGATCTTCCGACTTGCCTTCACTTCCTTGTAGTTCAAGATTTGACTTTCTTAGGTCTTCATTTCACTTGAAACTTTAACTTTAAGGTTGACTTTGCCAATTTGACTTATCTCTTGCTTTTTGCAAGTTAAAATAGTTTTCTAATTTCATTTGAGACTTGTAGCATTGATCTTTTTATTGTGATTTATCATCATTCAAACTTAAGATAGTTCACAATTCAAGCATATATGATTCAATAGAAAGAGCTCCAGAATAGGATGTTACCATCGAAGCACAACTATGACCAACATTGTGTAGGTAATGGTTGTCACCACTAGGAGCCAAAGAAGTCCTTAAAGGGGCGTTTGGTTGAGGAAATATTTTTAGAATAGTAGGGAAATGTAATAGATAGAGAAATGATTGGAAAGATAAATAAAGTGAGATAGGTAGAAAAATGTAAAAAATAGTTGTTTGGTGGGGAAAAACTTTACTGGGAAAATTAGGTAACTTTATGAAATCAACAGTGCATTAAAAGCCAGATAACCGGTTTTCCGAGAAATCCCACCTTCAAATTGAGTTTCTAAACAATGCGGATATCTATGTTTCTCATAAATCCATACAAATTGGATAGATGGGTTTTTGGTGAAAATACGTTGAAACAAACATGGTGTTTCTAAAAGCCATACTTGAGAAACATAGATATCCGCTGAAAAACTCCCAACCAAATACCACCTAAAGGCTTTTCATTTGATGATGTAGCTTTTTAAAAAAACAAAAGTCATAAAAAAAAGTTAATAAGTAATTTTTTCAAAAGATAATATTTTGAGTCCATTAGTATGGGCTTTTGAAAAATAAATTTTTTATGCATTATTTTTTAAAGGCTAAAGCCATTTTATATTTTAATGAAGTATATAAAAAGGACTTTTGAGTAAAAAAAGTTATTTCGATGTTAAAATTTATAAGCACTTTTTATTTATAAAATTACTAAAAATATATATAATGGTAGTGGAATGAAAGTGATTCCATGGGGTTGAGACAAAAAATTTTTTTTTGATAGACAAAAAGGCTAAGACAAAGTTAAATTTTAAGAATAATATTTGTCTTGTACTCTTTTCATAAACATAAAATCTTGACTTTAAAAAAAACACTATTTTATTGTTTTTTGAATTTTTTTAAAATTAATCTCAATGCACATTAAATAAAAAGCATTTTTATTTTATAAAAAAAAAAAGCACTTTTACATCCAAAACATTGATCAAATACAAAATAACTATTAATTTTTTAAAAAAATTCCTTTAAAAGAAGTAATACGTAAAATAAAATAAAATTTAAAGCCCATCACGGTCTTTGTAAGTCCAAGGTATCACTATTGGGATTAATTAAAATATAATGACCACTCATTTGAAATAGGAGCACATCATTTCTTATGTGTAACTCAGTATGTGTATGCTAGGAAAAGCCAATCAAGTTTTAATCATAGAATCAAAACAAATCTCATCCGTTAAAACTAAATACTTTCCCCTCTCTCTTAAAAAGCACATAATAGCCAAATACAACACACATATTAACATTCACGTTCACATTCGCACACTCTCTCTTTCTCTCTCTACCGAATCAGCCACACCCCACAAACCCTCTCTTCCATTTCCAAACCCAAAATCCCACCTTTCAACTCGAAAGATAGAGAGAGAGAGAGAGAGGGAGAGAGAAAGTGAGTGATGGATTCAGATCAAGGAAAAGTGTTCATTGGTGGGATTTCTTGGGACACAACAGAGGAGAAGCTGAAAGAGTATTTCGGGAACTACGGTGATGTCTCTCACGCTTCCGTCATGAGAGAGAAGAACACTGGCAAACCCAGAGGCTTCGCTTTCGTCGTCTTTTCCGATCCTTCCATTCTCGACAATCTTCTCCAAGACAAGCACGTTATCGACGGAAGAACCGTAATCAAAACCCTTTCTTTTTCTTTTCTTTCTTATGCCCCTTTGTTTTATTGAATGAATAATAGCTTTATTTTTGTTGGGTTTTAATTTTTCGGTTTTTGATTTCAAATGGGTCATCTCTGGATTGGTTATGTTTATGGGTATATGGTGGAATAGTTTTCATTTTAGATTATGTGGCCTAATTATTGTTATTATTTTCTTGATTTAATTTTATTGTGTTAAATTCAGATATATTCATTAGGACACTGTAAAATGATGACAGTTTTGGGTATTTTGTTTGTGGACATAGTTGTGAGACTCAAATAGTAGTTGTGCAGCTAGCTAGCAGTTTAGTAACCACTGTCATTGGATGAATGTGTTATGGAAAGTTAAAAAGATGCATCTTTCTCCATCACATGGTGTGGAAGGCTATTTACTGTTTGATGTGTGGGGTAATATGTTTGATTGTTTTGTCATTGGCTGTGAAATGAGCTTTATTTTTCAAGGAGAGGTTTAGGCATTATTAATTAATTTCTTTGGTTGGAGGCCTCATTAGCTGCCTATTTGAATATCTTTTAATCAAGTTATTGGATAATATCATATTTTACTTCCGCTATTGCATGTTAAGTGGAATGACAAGCTTGTGTGTTGTTATGTTTGGCTTTATTGCTTTTGACATGTTGTTGCTTGGAATTGTTGTGTTTGATTCATTATGTTTTAAGTATTCTTGTTCATGCTTGTGACAGATGAGAATAATGTTAAAAAGTTCCTGAACATTTGAATCTTATTTAATGAAATTATGAAAAGAAAAAACATCAGAAATCTTTCGAGCTGCAAATATGTGATCCACCTTGATGACATGCAAGAATGCTAAGATATGCTTGTATTTTTCGTTTTATAATATTTGTTTGCATGAATGAACATGTCTATGCAGTTCTTGTTGGATGCAGTGACAGTTTTTTTATCATGTTATGGTTTTTCTGTTTTTAGATATGCACAATGGTCTGAAAACAGGACTGAATGGCTCAACCTAAAAGATTAGCTTTGATGATATTGATAATTGTGGAATATTGAAATGTGGTCCTGTTTATGATTTTTCTTCTCATCATTGATTATATGTGTAATTCAGAACTTTTGTTATAATTTATTATGCAGGTTGATGTCAAGAGAGCCTTCTCAAGAGAGGATCAACAAATTTCTGTCACTTCCAGAACTGGAAATCCCAATACTAGGAATTCTGGAAATGGTGGTAATATCAGGACCAAAAAAATATTTGTTGGAGGGTTGCCTCCTACCCTGACCGAAGAAAAATTTCGTCAATACTTTGAGGCTTATGGCCCGGTAACTGATGTGGTAGTCATGTATGACCAGATTACTGGACGAACTAGAGGATTTGGTTTTATTTCTTTTGAAAGTGAAGATGCAGTTGATAGAGTTTTGCACAAGTCATTTCATGATTTAAATGGTAAACAAGTAGAGGTAAAGCGTGCACTTCCCAAGGATGCCAATCCTGGTGCAAGTGGCCGTGGTGGTGGTGGTGGTGGCGGCGGCAGTGGTGGGTATCAGGGGTATGGGGCATCTGGTGGCAACCAAAATGCATATGATGGTCGGATGGATTCCAGTAGGTATATGCAGCCTCAAAACACTGCAGGTGGATTCCCACCTTATGGCTCTTCTGGGTATAGTGCTCCTGGGTATGGGTATGGTCCGGCTAATAGTGCCATTAGTTATGGTGCGTATGGAAGCTATGGTGCTGCTGCTGCTGGGTATGGTGGACCTGCTGGCGCAACATATGGGAATCCAAATGTCCCTAATGCTGCTTATGTTGGTGGTCCCCCGGGTGGCGCAAGGAGTTCATGGCCTGCTCAGGCGCCCTCTGGTTATGGTTCAATGGGCTATGGGAACACCGCCCCTTGGGGTGCTGCAAGTGGTGGTGCTGGATCTGCTGTTGGTGTCCCTGGTTCAGCATCTGCAGGTCAATCCCCTAGTGGAGTTGCTGGATATGGGAATCAAGGTTATGGATATGGTGGGTATGGTGGGAGTGATAATTCTTATGGGAACCCAGGTGTGTATGGTGCTGTCGGAGGGCGTTCTGGGAGTGCCCCAAATGTTAATGCTAGTGGTCCAGTCGGGAGTGAACTACAAGGTAGTGGCGGTAGCTATATGGGTAGTGGCTATAGCGATGCAAATGGGAATTCAGGGTATGGAAATGCAGCATGGAGATCTGAACCAACTCAGTCATCAGGACATTATGGTACTCCTCAGGGAAATGGTGCTCATGCTGGACAAGGTGGTTATGGTGGTGGCTATGGCAGTGCTCAGTCCCGACAAGCCCAACAGCAGTAATTTTGACAGTTAAATCTTTTATTGGATCTTCAACTTCAACTTGTGGATGCAAGTCTTTAATTACGTGCTCAATGAATTCTTCCCTGCGGCAATGGAGTGGCTCAAGTTCGATGTCAATACACAATGGGACTGGTTGGGTTGCTCAAATCCCAGTAGTTTGCAGTATCCCCCTTAGTTTATAATAAGTATTTTTGAAGAGATACTAGATGCTACTTTCTATTTAGTCTCTTTCTGCGTGTAGCTTTAAATTTGCGTGCTTATGATTCTAGTATTTTTGGAATTGTTAGTTCTTTGTTGCATTTCAGCTATAGTAGCTTATTTAACCTTATATGTGGTTTGATTGAGTTAATTATCCGTGTGTTGTCTTGGTGTTTTTATTATGCGTACTTTGTCCCCTCTAACTAGACTTAGGTGATACTAAAAGTTTTTGTAGAGACACATGCTTTATTTGTCATGACAAGTAGAAATAAGGAGATATATTCGAGCTATTTACTGATAGCAGTAGCAGTGGACACTTGAGTTGATCACTTCATAATGGGTAGCGATAGTGGTAGTGATAGTTGAAACTTTGAGGATGGCATAATCATTTCCCCCTGTATTTGCACTTGTGTTGTACAGGAGGAGAGGTGCAGGAGTACTGAAGTGGAGCTAAGTGTCCACTCAAGGCTGATCACAAGCTTCATAGGGGGCTTGATCAGGGGTGTTCAGCAAGGATTGTTCTTTGTTCAGTCATTTTGTGTTTTTCTGGACCAAAGCAGCGTTGAATTTCCTAATCTTCAATCTGATTTGTGGTGAATGTTTGCGGTACGTTGACTTAAGTAGTTAGCTGTGGCTGATTAAAATTTTAGCTTGAATTTTAGGTGACATTTTAATTCTTACTCTAGATTCTGACATTCTTTTGATATGCTAACCCCAGAGAATTTTTTTAATCTAAAAATGTTGACCGTGATGTGTCTGTTTTTTCTAAGATAGGATTTGCTCATTACCTCACCCTTTTTTTTGTTTTCATTCTTGGCATTTATGGGTTATCTTTAAGTTTTAGTCTTGTTGCTATTGTTTCAGTTCTGATTGGGTTAAATTTATATTGCTTTGTGGTATGTGCTTTCTGTTCCTAATTTTCAGGTTGATCAAGGAGATTGTAGTTGTGCTGTCTTTTTCTCTTGGTAGTAATGACCTAGTATTAGGTTTTCTAGTCTATCAAGTGTCGTGTTATGACCATTATTTATTTCTATATTTGAGTAAATAAAGGTAATATGATATGGAAACGGGTGATGAGTTAATATATAGTTGTATAATTTACTTTTTCTTGTTTAAATAATGAGCTTGTCAATGTTGAACATGTTTGTTAATTTCTGTGTGAACCTTACTCTTGGTTTGTACTTGATTATTATTATTATTATTATTATTATTTTTGGGTGACTTGTGTTGACTATGAAGAAACCAAAATGGAATTTTGAACTAACTGAATTACTTAATTTTTCTTTGAATTATGTAGAGGATATTTGTAGTCGTTTATCTCCTATTGTGAATTACATAACTACCCTATCCTTGTTAAAATGTTGAATAATCTGGTGGAATCTCCAGATAATGCCGGGCAGACATATTTTATCATAAAAAATAAGGAGTTTGCATTTGTCATTTAACATGACACAATAAACTTTCCTACACATACAACATTTTGTGGGGCTCACACTTTTTGAAGAAAATAAAAATAAAATATTACGGCACACAAAACGAATCTTTATAACATTACACAATTACCTTTTTTACAACATAACTCTTATAAAACCCTAAAAATAATATCGGGATGTTAGAACGTGCTGTCTCTATTCCACCGATTGGTAATTATCATGGGAGCTTCAAAACGAAAAGGCCAATTGTGTCGTTCAGGTAAGCGACATAGCCCTCCCTACATGACATGCGTTGCGGGTGCTCTCCATTATCATGGGGTGGTTGCAATCGTATCCGATACCTTCCATTGTCCTGAGTTAAACTAGGGAAAAGTTCATCAATGCTTCTGTGGTTTGCTTCAGAATCACCTATGTTCTTGTGATTTTTATTGTATCACATATGTTTCTGTGCTTTGTAAAATATAAAAAACTCTAGGGGTATATGTGATAAAAAATATTTTTTTTTGCAAACTACAGGGATATATGTGATAGAAAAAAAATCACAGGGGCATAGGTGATTGTGAAGCAAATCACAAGGACATTGGTGAACTTTTCCCATTAAACTAACATCAAATAATTGCTCATGAATTTATTCTTTCAATACACAGGGACACTTTCAGTATTGTAGGGTTCAATCATAAAAACATTGCAAATGTTTAGTTTATTTTTTAAAAATTTATTATCTTTAATGATGTCATAATTTATTATTAAATACAAGTAGAAAGTTTTGACATTAACAATACACCAAAATCAAATTCATTAAGTATTTCCACAAGATGAGTTAGTGTCTTTCTTATAAATTTCTGAAACGAAGTATAATTAAACAGAATATTTATATTTGGCCTTATTACTTGCTCGTTATTCAGGATAAGTACGATCCAAGTTAAACACACCATACGCTATTTTTTTATTTACTTCATGGCAAATTTTATTTTTAGTTTAAGAAAATCGATTGTTCCACTTTGAACCCTAGGAGTGGTTTAATCAATCAAAGAGTTTCACACCAGTTGGCAGTCGTAGTTTACTAGTAGGAAATGAGGATGAGATAGTTTTAAAGGCGTCGAACACTAAGTTAAATTCAAAGCAATAAAGGCGATAAGTGTAGCTAAAACAAAAAACCATATTTGATGTACACTTTGCTTATATATGAGGGGAGAATCCTGGGATTAGAGATATAATGGATGAGGTGCATACTATGGGTTTGAGTGCAAAACGCAAGGCCAAAAGATGTACGCCTTGCTTATATATGAGGGGAGATTCATTCCGATGATTAAAGCTAAAATGCATGGTAAGTATGAGACTGAAAGAAAATTTTCATAGAAGATGAGCATTGTTACATAATATTCAGTCTCAAAATTACAAAATACCACAACTAAAAATAAAACTAAATGTCTTCATTACCGAATCTGCAAGAACCAATTCTGTAATCTACCTAAGCTATGATAACACTCCTAAAGTGGGCCAAGTGTGAGTACGGCCCAAGTTTTATTTATTTCCCATTGACTTGATCTCTCTTGATATTGAGAAATGCAAATTAACAGGCTAAGGGCAAGCTTTTATATGAATTTCTCGTCACAATCTGTTCGGATCAGGTCTTCACATTGCTGAATGCAGTATTGTTTCCAGGGCGTGAGAAAACCATCTACATGGTACATAAAACCAATTATTTACTTGTTTCAATTCCAACTATAGGCAATATAATCTAGGATTAATTTATACTGGTATAAGTTATACTATCAATTTTAGCCGTTTATTTTCACTTGTATCTAACAGCTCTAATTTTTTAATTATATAAGACTTTGGATGCAAGTGGAACAATGACAAAAAATAAGTATAAAACTTCTTATTGTTACATCAGTACAAGTTTAACCTTCCCCTAAATTTATTATTAATGACACTATCAAATTAACTTCAGTTTTATTCAAGTGCTCAATAGCTAAGAATAGCATAAATTTGGAGGCCACTGTTGAATGATGCCTGATGATGTTGGTTATGTACATGAAGATCAGTAGCCTAAATTTCAGGTAAAGTCTCACATTTGCGACCACTAATACCAAGTTTCCTATGAATTTCAGCTTGTCTTTCTAGAAACTACTATTTTGCTGATAGATTTAATCATGGAAGGTGCTTATGGTCTACCTTACATATGGTACCTCAATATTTTACGGAAATGAATCCTCTCACGTGTTATTTGTAATAACCATATCATCTGAAAGGATCCTAATCATTCATGGGAAGCAATAATCTAACTGTCATCTGTTAAGTGATACCACAATAAAAAAAGGTGCCAAAGAAATTTTAAGGGAAGTAGGTAGGTAAAATGATTACGGGTTTATCCAAATCATAGTTTGGATTGAGATTTTTCTTGTGGGATGATAGCTAGCACCCAGAGTGTCACTTTGTGAAGGTTTGAGGAACAAAAATCCAGACAAAAAAGTGGAAATACAGAGAAGGCAAAAGCTTTTAAACACTTAATAAATAATAGGAGAGTATAAAACTTGGATTGTAAGCGTGAGTTTTGAACCATTGTTAATGATAACAAAGAAACTTGTTTCTGGACTTTAGATATCACCAAAAGCTTATGGTGTCTTGAGATAACATAATGCTAAATAATCAACGTGCAACTGATGAAGACTGAAGACTTCATATTTTGTGCGTGCCACAGAGTAGAAGATTTGGAAAGTTAATTAAATTAGCAAGCATATAGTCTCTAATTTATGGTTAAATAAATTCTTCCACAAAAAAAATAAAGAAAAATGAATCCTTATATCTATGTCAAGTCATGCCTAATGATTATAAAGCATCAAATTGCTCCAAGCTTATAATAGTTACTGAGTACAAACCTGATAGTTCCCAAGTGTGCGAGATTTAAAGCCAGCTGCACAGTAATCAAAATAGTATTCCCACATCCGGATGAACTTTTCATCAAATCCAAGAGCCAGGATTTTTCTGACAACACACATATAAATTTTCCAGAATTAACAAATATAAATAGCTAGAGGGCAAGCCTTGAAATAGCGGTAAGATTGTTCTTCGTGACCACAAGGTCGGTTCGAATCTAGAAAAAAACTTTTTTGCAAAAATACAAAGGCAAGGTTGCGTACAATCGACCCTCACAAGTAGGGGAGCCTTGTGCAACAGGGTTTTCCTTTTTGCCCTTTAACTAGTGTAAATAGCTAATTTAATTGGATATTCAGAAGTAAATGTCAACATAATTATTAAAATACCTGTGGTTTTCCAGAAAATTCTTTCTCCACCATCTCAGAGTTTGGTAGTAATGAATTACAATGTTTTCAGTGTGCTCAACACTGCATTCAAGAATATTTGTTTTGAGTAAGACAGAAGAATGAATCAAATGCTCATTGGTAGGTAGAACTCACTACTCAGCACTAAAAAGTAACATGTACCATAGTCTGGATGCAGCTACCATGGCTGATGTTACCCTACTTAGAGATGGTATGCAACATCCTGGAAAAATATATTCCTTTATAAACTCAGAACTGCGCCTATACGCATCATATCGCTCATCCGGTATTGATGTGAACTAGAAGATAATGTTCAATTGTTAGCAGCAATTTAAATTTCAAAGAAGAGTATAGTTTGTGGCAACTATTTGCTTAAACCTGCATACCTGTTACATAAAAACCACATTGAATACTAAAGGTACACTAAATTATGAAATACCTGGAGAACAAGAAGTCCATCATCTGCCAATGCTGAATCTGAACAACCAAAGAACTCTTCCATATACTCATGGCCAACAGCTTCTATCATTTCACTGTAATATGCTCATACAGGTTATGCAGTATGTTGAAAATTTTGTTATTAGACATGATCCAGCAAAATTAAAAAGAAAAATAGCTCACCACGATATAATTCTATCATATTTGCATTTCTCGGGCAATTCGCGATAGTCACAAAGTAGAAATGTTATGTGGTCCTGGAAGCAGTGAATTAGTTCTATTCTGACAATTTGTCTGGCTTTTACTTAGTTTACAAGGAATCTAGGATCTTTTGTATAAAGAAATTTATGAAACCTATGGTGGATGTCACCATGTTAAAAAAGGTTCTTGTTTAATACCTTAAGGCCAGCATCTTTAACTCTATTTTCTGCAAATTTCAGCTGCTCCTTAGATAAAGTGATGCCAGTGTACTTGCAACCAGTTTGTTTAACAACTTCAATTGCAAAGCTTCCCCATCCGCATCCAATCTCAAGAATTTCATGTTCTCTAGCTATTCTAGCCTAGATTTATTTAAAGGTAAATCATAATAGACCTTTGGCAAGAAATCAACTAAAATATTAACAAAATGGAAATCAAAGACAATGCACTTACTTTTTCAATCAGCATAGAGATTTTTCTCATCTGTGCATCTTTCAAGTCTTCATCTTCATTCTACCAGATAATTTAAAGAAGAAATGAAGCAAAGCATTAATTAGTGCAACTGCATCAATTGAAGAAATAAATATCTCTTTTACATGAAATTTGGATTTAAGTGTCAGAAAGTAATTGTTCTTACCTTAAACACCCCACATGAATATGTCATTGTTTCATCCAAGAAAAGTGAAAAGAATTCATTGCTCTATAAAGAAGGTAAAAATAATAAGAATAATAATAATAATCGAAAGATTTTTGTGGCTGAATTTCAGCACTCAAAAAATAAAAAATACAGAAGATTAACATAAAATGGAACATGAGGCATAAAATAAGATCACATAAAGGAGAGTAATTAAGAAGTCCAACAACACTTCTTTGTCTAGCTACAATTTCTTGTTGACATATAACGGTTTCCCAAAATCAGAATTTGCTATTGAGATTTTATATACAGAAAGTCTGCAACTGATATATATATATATATATATATATATATATATATATATATATATATATATATCAAGAAAAAAAAGCCCCAAAAGATAGGGAGATATATCCCCAAGTTGTTCATGTATGTAGTAGATCTGCTAACCACATTTGACTACCATATGTCACTTAATGCTTAAAATATCTATCTTATTCAGAGTGTCTTTAAGAATGCTTCAACAGATACATTCATTCTTAGATCAAATCCCAGCTTTAAAATTTGATTATGAGCCAGATTTTTATGTAAACAGTATTTCATTTTTCATATTTGTGATTGTGCATAACTATTTATATTCTGACACAATATTAATGTATGATATGTTCTTGCTGCAACTAGTTCCTAGAACATCTTGAATAATGATCATATACCAAATCATAATGCAGAGAGATGTTCCTGCGAGCCTGTGTGAGAGTATTTTTCCTCAAAACATGCTGAATGAAGAACTTTGCAGATGCTAAACCAGCTGTAAAGAAAACTGGGGTCCACCAACCCCTAAAACATAGAAAAGGGAAAATGATGATACACAAATATGAGTAATACTATGATGTAGGCTTCTTTACAATCTTACCTGTTCTGCTTTAATTTGTTTGAATCTCTGTTGGCTATGAGAATCTACAGAAAAACACACCAAGGTACATGAAAGTAAAGAGAAAAGGGCAAAAGAGACAAATCTTGGAAAGATTTAGATCAGTCTGCTTACCAAAATAAAATTTAAAAGTCCTTTGTCTGTATCAACAAATGAAAAGTCACCATTGATATATGCATTTGCAAGACCTAAATCAGCATGTGTCATCACCTGAAAAACTCATAATTTAAGTTTTATTTTCTTGCCAAATACAATTAATTATAGTTGCATTGGCAAAGATAAGCAGATCTTGTAACTTATAGAGCTAGAATGACATTAATAATTCATGTATGAATTAAAAAGGACATACCTTCCAATAAAATTGGGGATTGTGGATTCTCAAAACACTTTTCAAAGAGAACTTTTTCTCAGGCCTCTCAAAGGTAAATATTGTTCCTCCCTCCTCCAATAACCTGAAACACCCCAAGACAAAATGTATTAGCGACTCCATAATTGTTTAAAGGATTTTATTAGTCTCATTTCACATAAGATAGTTATCTTATGTTATAGAGAGAAAATGGGTGGGTCCCACTGTTACAAGAAAAAAGAAAAAAAGAAAAAGATGAGGTGCAAAAATCGAAGTGAGAGATAATGAGAGAAGTTATATTATGGTGACAGGAGAGTAATATTTTCCTTGTTTAAATGTCTAATCCTCAGATAATGAACAAATTGAACTATTTTGATCTGGTTATTTTTATAATAGCCCATCTTAATTAATTAGTAAATCAAGTGTAATTAATTAATTAAACATGTTTTAGTGAGTGAAATTAAGTATAAGGCTTAATTAAATGAATCTGAGTCACTTTGGAGTTAAAAAGTGTACTCAGTGAAAATTAAGGGGTATAAATGGGTACTGGCAAAAGTACCCAAAACATAAAAATAAAAATAGTAATACTCCTAGAATAATATTCCAGACTTTTGGGTAAAGTTTGGTAATTATTGGAGTTGAATAGATAGACGAACCAATACCCACATGTTACCACTTAACCAATGTTAAGTGGTAAAACACCAAAAAGAACCCCTCATTTCCCACCCAACCCGTCGAACCAGAAAGGAGAAGAGAAGAGAGGGAGAAGAGAGGGAAGAAGAAAAGGGAAAGAGAGAGAGAGAGAGAGCAAATCCCAACGATTTTGGGTGATTCAAAAGCCTAAATCGCTTAGAATCTCGCCCTCTTTCATAATCCTAGCTTTGTTTTGAGTGGGGAGCATTGTGGAGAGAGATATTACCTCTCAAAAATTCGGCCCTTTGGTGAAAATTGGGGTTTTGAGAGTTTCTACCTCCATTGAAGCTTGAGGAGCCATCAATCCTTGGTTGTGTGACCATTGGTGGTAAGATTCTAACCCTTGAACCTCATGATTCCTTGAAATTTGCATGAGTTAGGGTTTGTGAATAGTAAATTGGGATTTTTATGAAATGTAGTTGAATTAGCTATGTTCTAGGAAGAATGGAGCTTAGAGCATGTTATGGAAAATGCTAGGAATGTCATTTAATCGGTGGAAATGAGCCTAGATAGTCATTTGATAATTGTTCATAATGTTGGAAAATTCATGCTTGGATTGGTTAGTATTCTAGCATGTTGAACAATTAGTGAGTTGAATGATTGATTGGATCCTTGTGATGTCTAGGATTGAGACATTTGGACCAACCGTGAGTGATCAACCATTGGAGCAAGCTATGGAGCTTGAATAGCTCATTGGAATTGGTAAGCTCATACTTGTGTTGTGCTTTGAATTGAGTAATTGATGGTTGATTGTGAAATACTCTTGGATGCAATGTGTTGATTGCATTACACCATGTGTAGGTGTATGTTTGTAAAAGTTGATTGCTGAAACTGTTGGTGAAGAACAAAGGTTGACTGAAGCATTGAGGTAAGCCTTCGGACCTTGGGTGTAATTCCCTTGACTGTTCTACCAAGCCCTGAAAGGGTGGAGGTTGTGATTGTGTATATAAATGCAATAAAATAGTGTAATGCTTTGTTATACGTATGTGTATGCATTCGGTGTGGCATAGGATGGTGTTTCCCTATGTTGGTATGTGGCATGACGATGCATAAATCATACTTGGTAGTTAGCTGGCCAGTAGGACTATTTGCATCTGAGTTTCCTTAGGACAGCTTGAGAGCTCGAGGGATTTCTCCTGGAGATGTATTGCACTTTGCATAGATATGTATTTACTGCATTATTATTGTTATTGCTATTACACTGATATAGAACTGTGGGGTGAAGAGATGCTCCAAGGACCCCTGGTTTACTGGATATATTCGTATATCTTACCCCGTGTTGTGGGGACCCCCTTTCAGGTAAGGATGCTGCAGGAGCCTCTGGTGGCAAGTGGCCATATCTGGATTATGCATGAAATATGGCACTTCTTTGAGTTTATGCATGCCTTTTGTAGTTGACATGTATAGGATTTTATTTTGAAAGCCTATGGTCATTTGTATATCTTGATTCATTGGATGAACTTAGCCTATGCTCATGCCTTTGGTTACACCTTTTGTTGATGGGAGCCAAGGGAATGATCATAGTGTTTTGTAAGCTAAGTTCTATGATTTGTAAAGGATATGTAATGTAAATGATGCCTACTTGAAATTCAATATATGCATGCTTGTTATGTATTGAGTTGTTGAATTGGTTGGGCTGAAAATCAATTAGGTACCCTTTTGTTTAAACTGGTAAACGATGAGAAAACAAAGGTCATGCTGCCCAAATTCTAGCTAAATCTCATGAGGAGAGGTTGGATGAGTGCTAGGATTTAGTTTTGGGGCATGGACAATTGGGGTTTGTAATGGGGATGCATTTTCCCCTAGGCTTGGACTTGAGAAATGTGGGAATTGGAATTCCCTGGCAGCGCGCCCAAGCGCCCTGCTGCCCCTGCGAGTGCCAATGCATTCTGCCTCCTTGCGCTGGAGCGCCCCAGTGGGGGCTTAAGCGCCCAGGATTGCGCGCTGGAGCGCCCTGGCGTGCGCTTAAGCGCCCTTTGCTGCAGAAAGTTGGGTGGCTTACTGCCCCCTCGTGTTTTAGCGCCCAGGGTTGCGCGCTTAAGCGCCCTGGTCCGCGCTTAAGCGCCCTTCGCCACTGAAGGAGGAGATGCTTCTGTCTCTGCGCGCTAAAACGTCCCAGTGGGAGCTTGAGCGCCCAGGCTAGCGCGCCTGAGCGCCCTGTTGCGCGCTTAAGCGCCCATCCACACTGGAAATGCTGATGCTTACTGCCTCCGTGCGCTTAAGCGCCCAGATGGAGGCTTTAGCGCCCGATAGCGCGCGCTTGAGCGCCCGGTAGCGCGCTGAAGCGCGCGGGGCCTGTGACCAACACTCTCTTGTGTTGCTTCAAATGGTCCTAACTTGGGCTACAGTGCTCCGATTTGAGCACGGTTTGAAGCCACGGGTAGCTAATGAAGAAACCTACAATATAGTGGAAGTATTGAACTAAACAAGAAGTAAATTAATGGTTTAAAAATGGGAAATGAACATGATGTTAAGCTTAATTTATCTGTTTCCGCAAGGTAATATGGTTATGATCACGAAATTGGGTATTATAAGTTCGGTACGTTTAAAAATGAAAAATTTATCCGGATTTCAATGGAACCCATGTGATTGTAACTGCGCTTAATATCATAATGCGATGTTAACAAACCGGTTCTAGAACGGGGTGTTACATTTTATGGTATCAGAGCAGTTTCGTTGGGAATAACTGTTAGCTATTGTTGAGTATGCTTAGTGTTTGATGCTTTATAGTTGTTTTAGTACTCTGTATGATTATTGCATTTGTAATCACTAAGTGTGGGCCTGATCAACTCACTTCTTTGTGTAACATGTGTAGTGACATGACGAGGAACCGAAACAACCCCGGGCCATCAAACACCAATGCCCAGCCAGAACCTGTTTTGGCTGCTCTAGTGAGGCCTAGAAGTGGCCGTGGGGCAACGGGCGTACAGCCTGATCCCGTGGCTGAAGCTCTTGCAGCCGTTCAGAGAGAGTTGGCTGCTAGCAGGCAAGCCAATGAAAATTTGTTAAAGACAAATGAAGACTCGCGGACTGCTATGGCCGCGATGATGACCGAGCTGAGGACATTGAGGGGTCCTAGGCCCGTGAACCGGCAACCCACTCCTCCTCCTCACACTGCTACGCCTTCTCCACCTCCTTCACAGGAAGAGGGTGGAGTGGGTAACAATGAGGGTGAAGGTAGTCACCACTCTGGGAGTCTGAGTCATCACACCGAGGTTCGTCAACCTCAAGTTGAAAATGTCGGTGATCATGAAATGGAGGAAAGGAGATTGATGGCTTTCCGAAAACATAAACCCCCTTCTTTTAAGGGAGGTTATGAGCCAATGGCGGCTGCAAAATGGCTCCAAGCTATGGAGAAGATATTCAGGGTGATGAGGTGCCCTGACGCAATGAAGTTGGCTTACTCTGTTTATATGCTGGAAGAGGAAGCAGAAGATTGGTGGACAAATACCGTGCAGCCATTAGAAGCTGAAGGTCGGGAGATCACATGGCGGTTATTCGAGACATTGTTCTTGGATAACTACTTCCCTAGAGAGGCTAGGGAACAAAAGCAGAATGAGTATAACGATCTCAAACAAGGGTCGATGTCGATTGACCAATACTTCTCAAAATTTAATGAGTTGGTGAAATACGCCAACTATGGGCGAGCCTTACCCACCCCGGCTAAAATGACCTCCAAGTTCCAATGGGGTCTTAATGAGAAGATGTCTCGGAAGATGTCAAATTGTGACATCCGAGAGTTCAGTCGGTTTGTAAACCAGTGTAGAAAGGTGGAAGAAGTTTATAAGGTGTCCCAAACCAAGAAGTCTTCTGAGGCTTAGGCACCTAGTTCCAATAAAGCAACGGGCTCAGGTTATTGGAAGAACAGGAAGGTGCAAGGCAAGAAGCTGAATGCGAATAAGCCCTTTGACTTGTTCAAAAAACCCGGTACTCAGAAGAAGTTTGTTGATAGAGGACCTCCTCCCAAGTGCAAGGGATGTGGCAAAGAGCATAGAGGTCCATGTGCTACTGGTGAGGTGATTTGCTTTAAATGTGGAAGATCCGGTCACTACTCCAGGCAGTGTCCTCAGAATGAAGCAAGGACTATGGCAGTTCAAGCTACTGCTGTTCCGGTCTCTGTTGTTCAACCTATGCTAGAGTCTCAGACGGTTGGTAGAGTATATACCATGGACCGTCAGCAATCGGAGAAGGCTCCGAATCTAGTGAAAGGTACAATTTACATTGATAATATGGATGTTGAAGTATTGTTTGATTCAGGAGCTACACACTCCTGTATGTCTGATTTTATGGCCGTTGGGCTAAATTTGCAAATGTATGACATTCGCCCTCCAATGAAAGTGGTTACTGCTACTGGAGAGGAGTGTTATACATCCGTGTTGTGTAAAGATGTTGAATTCAAATATGAAGGCCGAGATTACGTGCTGGATTTTATTTGTTTACCTATGATCAGC